TCTCACTGGGAAGTCATCATGTTTCCCCAAAAATGCAGTAATGAAAACAGAAAAACACAAACTGCATTCACAAAAGTCAAAGAAATACTGACTTTACTGACTAATTTTTAAAAAAACTGACAAATTACTGACCAAGATGAAAAAACTGACTTTTACTGATTTTACTGACCATTTTCCACCCCTGTAATGCTATAACTCTGATAAGTCATCAGATACAATGCTTCCTCCTTAGAAGATAAGATGTAAAGTCCATGTAATCAGTGTAACTTGATAGAAGGAGTCCCCATAGTCATAACATTTTCCAGCCTTTGCAAAGACACCTGTTTTAGATACTTAAAAGATGTGTTTCCTTCAACTTCTTCAGTTTGCTGGCTGTGTAGGTGGAGCCTGATTTCAACAATTTCAGCAGACCACAAGGTTCATAGTGTAAAAAGCGAATCATAGGTTCTCCTATGGGGCTGATTTTATTTTGTGGCTTGCGGGACAATTTTTTTCTGGTGGGGCTGCCATAATGAGGGGATGGTGGTGCATGCCCCTCTTCCTCCCCTCCTGCAAGATTTAAAGGGCCCCTTAAATCCTGCAGGAGGGTGGGAGAGGGATACACCACCCCGCCTCTTCTCAAAAGCATTTAAAGGATCCCTTTAAATGCTTTTGGGAAGAAGTAGGGGGGCCTTTATGAAGCAGGGGGGCTTTAAGGAAGGGGACTAGCTCTTTAAGGAAGGGGGCATAGCCCCCAATAGCCCACCATAGCTGCAGGCCAGCTGACTGATGCTGACTCTGATGTGCTTTTGGAGGGCTATGAGCCTTTGATATGGCAACAGCATCCACTGAAGTACCCGAGAGTGTGCCTGGACCAAAGGGACTGTCTCAATAGCTGCAATCATGTAACCTAGCAGACGTGCTAAAATCATCAAGTCCACTGATTTCACACAGTGAACCTGTTTTGGAGTCAGAACGATCTTATCTGCTCTATCTAGTGGAAGAAACACTTTTTTCCAGATTGAATCTATCACTGACCCCAAATATGTGATGACTTGGGCAGGTGTTAGATGGCTCTTCTGGAGGCTGGTTAGGAAGCTGTGACTTGAGAGATACTGGATAGTGTCCTGAATATCCCTGAGTACCTGCTCTTGTAAAGGTCACCTTATAAGGAGTTCGTCGAGATAGGGATGGATATAGATTCCTTTGAGACACAGGGTTGCAACAAGTGAGATGATCAGTTTTGTGAATATTCAAGGTGCTGATGCCCACCAAAATGGCATGGCTCTGAACTGGAAGTGTTTTTAACAGAAGGCGAATCAGATACTGTCTGTCCCAGGGAGTTATGGGCACGTGAAGATATGCCTTGGTCAAATCAATGGAGGCCATGAAGTCCTCCAGCTGCAGGGCTTCTACAATGGTCTTCAACCAGGGCTGGCTCACTCACTAGGTGAACTAGGCGTTCGCCTAGGGCAGGCCGGCCCTTAGAGGTGCCAAACTGCACCCAGCCCCTTCCCCGCCCCTGCCAAAAGCTCTGACCGGGTGACCGCCACCTCTTTCTCCCCAAGTCTGGCAAGTGAGCCCAGAAACGCTTACTGCGAGCACAGCATCCTCTGCGCCAACCTCCCCCATTTCTCCTCTCCTGCACTGCACAAAATGCTTTTAACAGACTTGCCTGGATAAATGGTTACACTCCTGTGCAATGTTCCCTCTAAGCTGTGGAGTCCTGTGAACAAAAATACTACTTTCTGAGCTACTGGTATTGTGGGGGGGGCGGCACACGAGGAGGTGATGAATGGGGGAGGGGGGCGCATGGGGGGGCGCCAGAAGGGATCCCCGCCTAGGGTGCAAAATAAGCTGGAGCCATCCCTGTCTTCAACGTCTCCATTTTGAACTTTCTGTACCTCACAAACCTGCTCTGGAATTTGAGACTGAGGATAGCCCATTCTTTTTGGGAACTATGAAAAAATACAATAGATGCCTAAGAACCTTTGCAACAATGGCACAGGTTCGATGGCAGCAATCTTCAGCAGATGTCTGATGGCATCCTGTGTGTGCTGTCTCTTGATCTGTCTACAGATCTGCACTCTGAGAAATTTGAATAATTGCTCCTAATGAGGAAAGTGCTTTTACGGGCAGCCTTTGTTGGCCAAGAGGAGCCCTGGCATTTCTTTGTGTCTAGAGACCTTGAAGTAGCTAATTTTTTTATGGTGTTTGACTGGAGAGGGAGTCTGGGGTGGTAAAGAAGCTCTTTTTTCTTCTCTAATTGATTGGGACCAATTGTTCTAGCCAGTCCTGGAAGCCTGGTGGGAAGACAAAGGGCTCCCCCTCCTGGTTTTGCCCCTGGTAAAGAGCTATTGTGTCCCTTCAACTCACCCCTCCGACAGCTACAGAAGGCTGTGTTGAGCAGGCCTGGTGGGCCCATACACGCTGTCCCAGCTGGTGCCAAAAATCAAGTCTGCTTCTTTATGATCCAAGCCAAGTGATTCACGGCCTTTGACTCTCTACAGGAACTCTGCTGCAGCAGGACGACTGGGTAAGCAGGTTTGCAGAGATTTCCTATTCTGCTGTCTGGGGATTAGGGATGGGCACAAATCTAATAATTCTGTTTTGCTTCAGAAACCCCAAACCGAATCAAGTCTAAAATGTCCTGAACAGAACAAGCCAGTTTGGATCCCCCTTTCTCCCGGCTGCGGATTGCCCAGGAAGGGTTAAATGCTAACAGCCCGTTTTGCTTCCCCCCCTTTGAAGCAGGGAGAGCAAAAGGGACGCATTTAATGGCTCACAGCCAGTTAAATGTAACAGCTGATGTCTGTTTAATGTCTGGCAGCCATTTCAATGGTCGGTTTCACTTCCTCCCGCTTCCAAGCAAGGGAAGCGAAACTGACCAGTGGCTCACAGCCATTTCAGCCTAACAGTTGGGCAGGTTCGCCCATCTACTGTTAGGCTGAAATGGCTTGCAGCCCTTTAAACCTAGCAGGTCAACTGCGGACCTGTATCTCTCAGCTGTTGGGTTTAAATGGACCAAACAGCCGAACCGGACAAAAGTCCTATAAATGTTCAGGGAAGGTGCATTCCCCAAACTTTGGTTTGGGGACTTCGAACCAAGCCAAATTCATGCCAAATTTTGACTCATGAACCTGACTGTGCCCATCTCTACTGGGTTTCACCTCCCCAAACTCTCCCTCGGAGGAGGCCCCTTATTCGGAGACCTCAGCTGCAGACATCACCAAGATTGAAGCAGTGGGCAAAAGGTGAACAGCCTCAGGGGAGACAAGGCCGGAAGAATAATCAAAGTGTGTTTGTTTTTTAAACAAAGGGAAAGGCACACAGAAAGGCACGCAAGGGGAAAGAGAAAAGCAAAGGGCAACCAAAGGAGCTCCTTAAAGGAAAATCTCAGGGGCTCTCTAAATCCACTGCTTTCTCAGGTGGAGGCGGGAAAAAGACTGAGGGTTGGTTCCTCCTTCCCCTGGAGATGGAAAGTGCAATCAATTTCCCACCTCCAGGGCTTGTGGGAAGAGGAACCCAAGTATATCAGAGTGTCCTCCTCCCCTTAAAAGAGAACAATATTACTTAGGCCTACACAATTAATTTTATTACAGTAGCTGGGGAAACATAAATATGATGTCCTCTACAGCAGAAATTTTGCCTCTTTGAAGAGCAGTATAGCGTATTATTATGGGATTTAAGAATCTCCAGCTGTCCTCTATTTTCCAGTCTTTTAACCAGCTCTTTAAAACTTCTAGGAATAATATCTGCAATAAAATTACATCTTCTTAACATTCTTAGCAGCAGTTCAACCAGAGTATCTAAATCACTGCCAAAATGAATTCTCCTTCCTTAAATGTCAAAAAATAATTGTTATATCCACTATAAGTATTATATTTCATGCATCTGATAAAGCAGGTGGTTGCTTTCTAAACTTCATGCTGGAATAAATCAGTTTACCCACGAAAATGCCACGGAACTCTTCTGGAATGTGAATAAGTACCATTTTGCATACCCAACCATACACTCTCAGAAGGTGGAAATAAATGACACAGTTGTGCTAGTTTCCTGGTCTCCAGCATCCTGATATAGGCACCCTCAGAGACAAAATACTGATCTATATGTGCAGTTGCTAAGTTTGTATATTCTAAATAGGTAAAGGTTCCCTTGCTCGAAAGCCAGTCGAATCCGACTCTAGGGTTGTGGTGCTCATCTCCGTTTCAAAGTCGAAGAGCCAGCGCTGTTCGAAGATGTTTCCGTGGTCATGTGGCCGGCATGACTAAACACCAAGGTGCACGGAACACTGTTACCTTCCTACCGAAGTGGTACCTATTTATCTACTTGCAATTTCTTGCTTTTGAACTGCTAGGTTGGCAGGAGCTGGAACTAGAGATGGGAGCTCACTCCATCATGCGGCACCCGGGTCTCGAACTGCTGAACTACTGACCTTCCACAGCCTGCAGTTCAGCGTCTTAACCACTTGAACCACCGCAGATTCTAAATAGAATCCTGCTAAACAAGAATAGAAACATACCACCAAAGAACACTAAGGAAAATTCACTGTTAACCAGTCCCAGCAGCTGACAAGCCTCCATTTTACGCAATAAGTTGAAAACAACGCGGCTGTGTTTATGTGCTGGTTAGAGGATGGCAAGTGGAGCCAGTTCAGCATTAAAAAAATTGAAGTTAACCTGATGGTTAGGTTCCCTTTGCAATTTACCCTCAGGGTATGAGCTCAAACGTGTCAAATTTATGTTAGATTCATTCAGAGAAACTGCTCAAGGGGAAGAAAAATCAATTTAACAAATGTCAATCTGCAATGAGAACATTACACTAGCATCCAGCAATACTAAGCAGGAGGATTCCACCGGGTTGGGGGGGGGCACACACAACACAAAGATCAAGCCACCAAATTACCACTGAAAGTGCCTGCTTTCTGGAGAGCTTAAATGTAATTCATTCCTATCCAATGTTATTTTTGCCTCTCCAATCAGACAGAGCAGCACTGTGGATTGTTAAAATTGAATGCTTACCTTCAGACGATAGTCATCTTTATCGGTTATAGTTGCCACTCTGATTAGCATGGGATTTCTCTTGTCTACAACCTCTAGTTTCATGTTAGCCTGGAAACCGTGGGCTGGCCGCTGTAAAAAAAAGTGCAATACAAACTAGAGACAAACATCATGGAGGATGACTTTCAACAGTGATCCCCAACATGGTGCCCATGGGTGCCATGGTGCCCCCAGTGGTGTGTTTTTTGATGTCCATTTGTTTTTTTAAAATTCTGGGCAAATCATCTCTCCCTGAAGCAAAGAGCCAAACATGGCTTTCCTCTACTTCACTGACATAGGAACTGATTAAAAAATCCCAGGGAGGCATCACCTTTGGGTCTGCAAACCCATCCATTCAGACAGCTGCCCCCACCACAGAATACCATTTGATTGGGAACCTGCTAATGTTTTGTGATCTATGGCAGCTGTTTTGTGATTGGTCCTGCCTCCATGGTGGTGGCACCTACTATCTTTCCTCAAAATCCCAAAAGTGAGCATCAGCTCAACAGGGTTGGGGACCCATGACATAAGAGTTTGATCCATATAACCCTTAATATACATTCAAAATGATCACCTCCCTTTTATTTAAGACTAATTAATCCACATGACCATCACCCAATCATTCTGCAATCCCAACCCCGCCTCTCCATCATTCTTTAAATGGCCCAGTTTTGAACAGGATGGTTAATGTTATTATTCCATGTCAGACTCAGCAATGTGCCTCAGTCATACTGAGTCTGGAGTAGACCATGACACATGCCATGTGGGAAGATCTCTGCACCATGTGTTTTCTGCAGCAATCTTCCTGTCCTTAATACACTGCCATATCTAACACCATTTTACCAGTCTTAAAATTGCACTGGCACCATAAAAAACTATAGGTCACTCAGAATTCTTTATCTAAATCACAATCCCTAACGTGCCCTCTACCCATTTATTTATTTAGCCATTAGTACTTTGTTAACTCTTCATTATAATAATTAGCATGTATTACTTATATAATTCCTACAATAAAGTGCTACCCAAAGGGAAAAAAATCATAGCCTTCTTTTAGATTGTGGTACACTAATACAAAACCAAGCACGATTTTGACTAACCAGTTTAAATGCTCTTGCTGGGGCTGCCTGTGAACCAGTTTCTTCCAAATATTTCTCCCACGAGAAGCTTTTGAAATCTTTGTATTCTGGAAAGAGATTTGAGGCATATTCTCAATTTTCTGGAACAGAAGCAAGCCACAGTACATGGCAATTAACCGAACACCACAAGACTATGCCATGTGTAGAATTTAGTATGTGTGGCAGCTCAAATCAGAAATTAAGCCACTTGCTCATTTTACTGATTTTAAAGTTAGTGTAAGCTTCCAATGTGCAGATTACATGTGGAAACACTAATATGGAGAAACAGCAACTCTTTCTTTATTGCATACCAAGCCCTTGGACTCTGAAATGAGCTTGGAATCAGTGACAGAACTGAAATAATCAGATTCATTACTGACAAAAAAAAGACTTCCAATTGCTATCTGTCTGCAAGAATTCAGTTCAAACAAAAAGACTAGACTTCAATAAAATATGTTACAGTCTCATAAAATCAACTTAATTTCATGATTGGTTATTCTCTAAAGAAAATCTACAGTTAATGTAGTAACGTGTTTTTCAAAAGGATTTTAGAAGCAAAAAACCCTAAATGTATATATCTGTTGATTTTCAGCTACGAAAACTACTCCAACAGGAGCAACATAGAGAGAACATAATTCTGTCATGTCACAACTGGTATAGGAATGGCCTTCATGATTGGTATGTCTATCAGATCCCAAATAGAATAATAAATTTAAGGGGGCTGTGTGTGGACTCCCCACAGAAACAGGCAGGCTTCTGGCAATCCTCGCCAGGCCTTGCAGGGGACCTAAGGACACAACTGAGTTTAGGACCATCAAATTAAATTCCTGCTCTCTCTCAATCTCCCTCTCTCTGGGAGCTATCCAAGGTCCTGCAGCATTCTAGTCCAGCGTTGCAGGTCTCCTGCTCCTTGCGTTTCACTTGACTATTCTATTATTGACTACGTAAGTCCCCTATTGAATAATTTCCCCAGTACTTGGTACAAGTTAATAGCCTGGCTACAACAGACCCGTATTCTTTTCCCTTTATTAGTAAAGCATGACATTTATTCCCTAATATCCCAATGATCCAGAAACAGGCATGGGTCTACAAAATGTTTTCCAGTTGTTGTACACTCATCGTCAACTACAGTTGTATTTAGTGCTAGATTATGTTTCAATAGGCTTTTACTGATCTATAGCTGAAGGACCACACTTCTTTGACCCATAGTCCATCATTCTATCTTTTATACCAAAGAAGTCACAGAAAGGAAGTACTGCAACACTTGGAGTTGGATCTTAGGATTCTTCTGCTGGGACAAAGTGACTTGTACTAGAAGAAAAGTTTGATATTAATGGAAGGAGCCACAGGACCCAGCCCTTGGTAAACACGCACAAGAGTTTTTGTACAGGCTACCAACATCTGAAATTTCTTCACCATTTGGAACATAGGCGCTGTTCCCATTAAAAGGACAGAGCAGCAACCAGCATTATATGATCTGCAAGAAATTGTACATTGGAGTCTGACTATAAGGAGCATTGGTCTACCTTCCTCACCAAAGCATTCTCAGATAATGTACACTCACAGCTCTGTAGCACATTTTAATTGCAAACCTGATTCTAATATTTGGCCAGTTTCATTGTTATAAAAGAAAAAACCCAACAGTCAAGAACCTTATAACAAATCGAATCACACATGAGATCACACTTTGGAAATATTTTCAGTGCAGTGGGTAATGGTAGGCTTGCAACATACCAGCTGGCGTTGTTAATGGAGTTCCAGTTTCTTGGCAGTAACCAACAGGTCGGATATATGGGCTACTAGCATCACACCTGCACACACACAAAAAAACCCCCACAGAAAACTGGCTCCAGTCACTGAGCATAAGAAGAAGCACCAATAAGCAAACCTTGTCTGATCTATTTTTACTGGACTAGCAGACAATACCCAGCATGCAACCTGGTAGGAATAAATAAAGCTATCTTTTAAAAAATAAAACCCACAGGTTTTATTAATTAAAGCAAACAAATAAGAAATTTTGTCCACAGGTTTGAGAATTGGAGGTAGGTGTGTATTCCCTTTCTGCTACAGACAGATTTTATCTCTTCCTTTCCACTGAGGAGCTAGAAGGGATAGCTGAAACTCATCTAACCCAGTATTCACCCAAGTCAGGGATTTGCACACTGAGGATCCTATCAAACTAACTCATAACCACATATTTATATAATGTACATCAATTCTGTAAATGAAAGGTTGAAACTTTATGTAGAACTTTCCTTCTGCCTTAATCAAGGAGTCAATTCCAGCTACAGTTCTGCAGATTTTTGCTGTTCAAATGACAATTCCATGGGCACTTTCCTATCATTTCATGGCGAAAAGATGCAGACTGTAATTTTTGTCCCTGCCACTAGATGGTGGCCTCCTCCTTCAGTTGAGAGACTTTATCAGCAGTCCAAAAACATATACTGTACATTACAAAAGTTAAAAAGTAGGACCTCAAAACAGAGATATTGAACTAGATAAAGAGGACAACATCAGGAGCAAAACATCTGCATAAAACACACACAGATTGAATAAAGAACTGTAAAAACAGTGAGGAATTTGAGATTAAAAGCACATGATCTTGAATATCAAGTTGGCAGAGGAACCCATCTCTCCCTTATATATAAAAGAGTAGTGGGCACCAACGTTCTAAAATGCGCCCCGTTAGTGTATGGCTGATGGAACTGCTCCTCACCATATATGGCCACCAATCAGAAGGCAAAGCCCAGGTCCCGCCCACACCACCACTCCGGCGAATGTGTACCTCACCAGTCACCCGACGCCATTTTCATTGTGCCCGACGACGAGGACTACGAGGGCTCTATTGAATCGGTGAACTTCAGCTGCCTTCCCCAGCGCCCACTCAAACACAGGCGACGGCGGCAGCCTCCGGTCGCCCGCCTCGCCCTCCGGCCACAATCCCGGCCCAGCAACCTCGGCTGCAGTCAGCGGTCGCCCAGCTCCGGACCCCCCCAGTCCAGACTGGCCAACGGAGGCAGCGGCCTCCAGGCGCCCACCTCACCCCCAACCCCACAATCCCGGCCCGGCGACCGCAGCTGCAGCCAATAGTCGCCCGGCTTCGGACCCCCCCACACTCCAGCCCGGCCGATGGAGGCGGCGGCCTCCAGTCGCCCGCCTCGCCCTCCCTCCCACAATCCTGGCCCAGTGACCGTGGCTGCAGTCAGCAGTTGCCCGGCTCCAGACCCCCCCCAGTCCAGACCGGGCAACGGAGGCAGTGGCCTCCGGGCCCCCGCCTCGCACCCAACCCCACAATCCCGGCCCGGCGACCACGGCTGCAGCCAGCGGTCGCCCGGCTTCGGGCACCCCCCACTCCAGCCCGGCCGACGGAGGCAGCGGCCTCCAGTCGCCCGCCTCGCCCCCCCCGCCCGCA